GTGCCGAATGTTCCATAAACGACTGTGCCGCGAGCAGCAAGAATCATTCGCGCGCGGTGTGTGGTACCCTTCAGTGAATGGAGCGGAGTATCGATCCCCTTTCTGAAGTGAACCGTCTCGTTTCGGTGATCGTGAATATTTTCAAAGAATCCTATTAAATCAATCAGTGCACTCAGCTACTTCGTCAAAGCCGATCAATCCCGTCGCAATCATCGTGCGAATTACAACGTCAAACGAATCGCGATTCAATCAGATGATCACGACACGGCCATGTACGTGCGCGCTCGCGCGCGCACACGACACGTTTACTTCAAGTGTTACAAAACTCGAGTCTGTTGTCCGATCGATCGCTGCTTGGCTTTGAAATGCCTTGCCATTCGAGAGAGTCATTAGTTAATCAAGCTGACTCAATTGAAGACAAAAAAGGAACTTTGTAAGCGAAAGGATCGGGGAATTATACTCTGGAACGTAGTACCAAATACCCTAATGTCCGAACTCTCCACTATCGGAACCCTCCATTATCCGAATCCTCCACTATTAGAACTTTCCAATATTGGAACCTTCTACTATCCGAATCTTCCACTATCGGAACCCTCTGCTATTGGAACATTCTATTATCCGAACATTCTATTATCTGAATATTCTATTATCCGAACATTCTATTATCCGAGCATTCTATTATCCGGACTTTCCATTATCGGAACCCTCCAATCTAGAAACCCTCCCCTATCGGAACCCTCCACTCTCCGAACTTTCTGCTATCGGAACCCCCTACTATCCGAACATTCCACTATCCGAGTGTTCTGCTGTCCGAGCGTCCTACGATTCTTCCTCTGCAAATTCATTTTTTTTAGTTACACGGAAGTTCGTGAAAATCCCATATTAAATGGATCGTTATTAGAATCACTGTTGTCTCCGACTCGTCACTCTCAAAGCAAAATGACGAATTCCAAGCTAGTTACCAAGTTTCTGGTAGCATTTCAGTGTTACAAACTGTTGAAAAGTTGTCGATATTTTCTGAGATTTATTTGTGAAACTGTCCTTTGTAGCTGGGAATAAATTAAATATCTTCAGGCAGAAGCAGTCGCGTTGTTCAATCAAAAGCGAAATTACAAATGGCGCGGGGTGGAGAAGGGGGGTAGATCCTTTTCCTCGCGGCGGGCATTATTCGCAATTTTTCCCGCGATTTTCATGGAAACAGGAATTCCATTAAAGCTTTCAAATCGGCACCGACTCTTTCATCAGACGGGATCGATTTTCCCCGTCATCGTCTGTTTGTATTAAAACCAACCAGACTTTCGGAGAACGTTTCAATCCGTATTCCGGTATAGACAGAAAATAAAAACGAGTCGGTCGTTGATAGCGAAGTTAACACAAGGATACATCGCCTGTTTCATCGAATCCGCGCGGAAATAACGAAAATTTTCCCTAGACGATAACTCGTCTTCAGGTTCCATTTTGTTTCTAGTGACTAATGTTCGAACTAGTTCTTGACTAAACTAGAAACTACGTGATTCAATATTCATCTCGGATGTGTAATAACCTGTAGTATTTGTCTTAGCATTGGTTTCGCGGAACTTGCGAACTCTCGAGAATTTACGAAATATATGGAAACTCGACTTAATCGTGACACGAGTGTATATAAAGGTGATATTCCAGGGTAAAAACAAGTTCGAAACGTGGAATGAATTTTCTTCTCCCCTACGAAGCTTCATTTTCGAGAAAATCGAATTCGAAAATTTACGACCAGCACGTGCCCGCGCGATCGAGTTCAGTGGCCCATTTTCAAACTTAATTTTCTCAGGAACTAAAACTCGTGCGAAAAATATTTATTATACATTTACAACGTAATTTTCTGTAGGGATACCCTGTTCTAGACATACAGTGTTCTAGGGATAACGTGCTCTAGGTGTACCACGTTCTAGGCATACCATAAGGGTATCCTATTATGGGGATACCCTGTTCTAGGCATACCCTATCCTAGGCATACCCTGTTCCAGGCATACACTCTTCTAGGCATACCCTGTTCTAGGCATACCCTGTTCTAGGCATACCCTGTTCTAGGCATACCCTGTTCTAGGCATACCCTATTCTAGGCATACCCTATTCTAGGCATACCCTATTCTAGGCATACCCTATTCTAGGCATACCCTATTCTAGGCATACCCTATTCTAGGCATACCCTGTCTTAGGGATACCCTGTCTTAGGGATACCCTGTCCTAGGGATACCCTGCTGTTGGGATACTCTATTGTAGGGATACTATATTGTAAGGATACTCTGTTCTTGGGATACTCTGTTCTTGGGATACTCTATTGTAGGGATACTCTATTGTAGGGATACTCTATTGTAGGGATACTCTATTTTAGGGATACCGTGTTATACGGGAGTTGCCCTTACCATCTGTTCTGAATGGTTATCAATTTTTTTTTTAAATACGAAACGATGTTTTCCGCCGGTGAATATCCGACTTAATAGATCGTTGAACTTCACAGCGAACGGAGATGGGGCAGACAGCGCCTTAAGCTTCTTCTTTTTCTTCGCGCGGTAGATGACCCAGTTGCGCGAGAGAGCCTATGCCGTGCAAATTGCTCGTAGAATTTCGCGACGAGGCGAGGCTTGCCCGTGTTGCAGAGCGGCCGCGAACGGCTGCCTCGCCGTGACTCTCGTTCGTGGCCCTCGACAAGAATTTACGAAAAATCGATGCCGCCACCCCCGGGGGACGATAGGGAAACTGGTTTAACAAGCGCCCACGACCGCGCGCGCCGCGAGACGTCCGGCGGACAGCGCGCATGTGCTTTTCGGTTTCGGTTGGTCTGAGCCGATTCCGATCGTGTCGCTTCCGGTTACTATGCTTGAACAAATACACTCCCGACCCTCTGTAATTTCTTCCCGTGATTTACGACTCGATCTTTTTCAACGATAACCTTTCGCAAACGAAAGTACCTATCGCCGCAATATTGGGTTGTACTTGAGTTCCTATGGCTGGGTCACCAGCGACCCGTTGATGCGCATAGCACCCAAACCATCAGTATATCATCGTAATCATCATTTTCTGCATTGGTCGTAATCGATTTTTCCGGTCGATGAACTTCAACCCTCGAATTCCTATGGCTGGGTCATCGGCGACTCATCGATCAGCTCAAACTTCAAATTATTGCTGTATCAGCGTTATAATCATTTTCGACATTAGTAATTGTAGATTATTTAGTTCGATGGATTTTAATTAGAGTCCCTACGACTGGGTCACCAGCGACCCGTGATGAATATTCTCCATCAAACTGTTTCTGTATCACCTAAGTGAATATCGGTTCAATGGAATTATATGTGAATGTACGCGTGTTGTGGGTCACGGTCGACCCAGCTTTGGCGATCAGAAGTTTCGTTAAACATTCGTCTCAGGCTGGGCATTGTTTTCCTGGTATCGACGTTTTCCACGCGCCTGCACGGTTATGCATCGAGGCCCGTGTGTTAACAGCGGTTGTCAAGCTGCTCGGAAACTAGCGATGGAAGTGTTAACACTTTCACAACCGGCCGCATAAGGGCAAAGAAAATGGCGGACCGAGACAGGGCACGCGCTCTGCCGTGAGGTAAATTCCTAATAAGGGTAAAGTTTCCTGCTCGCGTATGAATCGCGAACGTCTCTCGCTAAGAACACACGGACCAGAAGGAACGTGTCTGCTCACGGATCTCCAATTATCGCGCTCGGATTAGAATTTCTTGTTAGCCAGATCATAACGAACGCAGGTGGACTAATAGTTCGTGAGTAGTTCAGAAATTGCAAAATCAAAGAAACGTCTGTTAAACAATTATCTTCGGAGAAAGTGTAAAAGTTAAAACGTCGTTTAGGTAACAATTAACAATCTACGTCGAATGGTATATTTTTATACGTTTCTAACTCACGCGTCTTTGTATTTTCCTACGGTTGGGTCATCGGCGACCCGTCGTCGATCGTTCACGCAGCGATAAAGCGAATACTAAATTACACGTATACGTATCTCTGCAAAATCTTGTTATGGGTCACGATTGACCCGGTCCAGCTTTGACCCATGGATGACGAACGTGGGTCATTCGAGACTCAAATTTTAAGTCTATCCTGAAAGGCAAGGTAAAACATTTGATGAAATGTTAATTCAGAATTTTATATAATAGTTAATCGTGTAGTTCCGTTCTGTTAGGACACCAGGTATACGAACGCATGGGAACAATGGCAGACCGTTTCCAGAATAGAAAGAAAAGCCATGATCATCTGGGACTTATAACTCGAATTTTTTCGACGCAGAATGATATAGTTAATGATTTAGTTCCGTTCTGTTAGGACACCCGGTATACGAATACACGGTACAATAACAGACAGTGTCCAGACTGGAGAGAATTTCCGTGACTAGGAATTATCCCGTCGGATCGGACGTCTTGCCGCCGCCTCCCGTTCGACGGGGATAGATTTGGCTTTTGATAGAGTCGGCAAGACGGTTAAGGAACGGCCGAGGTGTATTTTCGTCGGCCTCGGCTCGTATCGGTACCGCAAAATCGCGTTGCGCCATTCCTGGCGACACCGAACTCGCGGCCGCAACGGTAGACCCGACGGATCGTAGTGGTAGTGGCTGCGAGAGCTTCCTCGATCGTCACATGACAGTATGGAAAATCGTCAAATGTAAAATTGCCGCCATTTTGTGAACACCATTTTGGATCGAGTGAAAAATTAAATTTACATTTTCCTTTTTTGTTTACTTATCTCACGAAATAATTAAAGAATGATTGATGAAGTATTCTGTACATGGATTTAAATAATATTATACAAGGTGGTTCATTTGTCTTGAACACCATAAAAACTGTATGGAAGGGTGTATTAATAGGAAGAGTATAGGGGGAAAGGGATGAGGGTCCATTTCTTCCCCTACTTATACTGCAGTGCATATGGATGTATATTTTATCGTAGAATTCATTTTTGCATTTAGAAATGGGAAAAGAGATGGAAGTTCCGAGTTATTGCCATTCCAACCCTCGTCTATTCTGCCAATTTTAATGGACTTTCATCTATTTTCCCAGGTATGTACAGACATTTTCTTAATTGAAGGGCTTCGAACATTTGCAATACTAATACAATATTGCTGCATTATTGATATGTTATTGGCCATTGTATCAGTTAAATATTACGCATAATTATTATAGAAATAATAGTTTTGTTCTTTCTTTATTGATCCTCTAGGTGCCATATTAATCAATTTCTTAGAAGTTTCCATAAAAACCTGAACAATCAAGTATTACCTAGTGAATTATTGTAAATATAAGAAATTTACATGGTGTCTTTCTACACTTCACGCCGTACAGTTGTTCAGTGTTGCCAGATTATTGAGTACGGACGTTACGTTGCAAGATTTCCTATTATGTGGAAACGTATTCTGTCCGCCATGTTGAAACGTGCCCGAGGAAATCGATAGTTCCTTTTTCCCCCTATTACAAAGTCTACACGAAATCCGTAATTTCGTGTTTCGGGCTTTCGCAAACAGTGTCTGCCGTCCCCGCCCGCGCGAGCGTCAAGCCTGCTGTTTCTGCGCTGTCGATTTGCAAATAAATCGCGGTAGACGTCGGTAAATCACGTTAGCTGCACTGGGACCGGCCTCGCTTGCAATCGCAAGCTTGCACACACAGGCGACACGTACCGGGCGAGCTTTCGAAAGACTGCTCACGTGCCATTAGGCGCCGACGCGTTTGGACATCCGCTGCTCGGAACTGACTTTCCTGAACCGTGAATTACATTGTTCGAATAACAGAACGTTCGGGGAATAGAAGATTTTAATAGTAGGAGGTTCCCATAGTAGAGGGTTCCGATATTGGTGGGTCCCGATATTGGAGGGTTCCGATATTCGAGGGTTCCGATATTCGAGGGTTCCGATATTCGAGGGTTCCGATATTCGAGGGTTCCGATATTCGAGGGTTCCGATATTCGAGGGTTCCGATATTCGAGGGTTCCGATATTCGAGGGTTCCGATATTCGAGGGTTCCGATATTCGAGGGTTCCGATATTCGAGGGTTCCGATATTCGAGGGTTCCGATATTCGAGGGTTCCGATATTCGAGGGTTCCGATATTCGAGGGTTCCGATATTCGAGGGTTCCGATATTCGAGGGTTCCGATATTCGAGGGTTCCGATATTCGAGGGTTCCGATATTCGAGGGTTCCGATATTCGAGGGTTCCGATATTCGAGGGTTCCGATATTCGAGGGTTCCGATATTGGAGGGTTCCGATATTGGAGGGTTCCGATATTGGAGGGTTCCGATATTGGAGGGTTCCGATATTGGAGGGTTCCGATATTGGAGGGTTCCGATATTGGAGGGTTCCGATATTGGAGGGTTCCGATATTGGAGGGTTTCGATAGCGGAGGGTTCCGATAGGAGAATGTTCAAATGGTATAACATTCAGATAGGAGAACGTTCGAAAGTTGGGGTGTCCTGGCACGGCAGGCTTAACTCTAGTATACTATATTCAAACTGTCGACTCGATTCTTCAGGTCTGAGTTTTCGCCGCCATTGTAATTACCATTGGCAGCGCGCGAGGGTTAATAGTCGATCGTAAGCAAGGAATTATTTACGAAGGAGAATAGAAGGGTAGATAGAGGTGAATTTATCGCGAATATTTCGGGGAGTGCTATTCCATTCCGCGATATATCGCTGGCCTCGTGGAACTTTTCCTTCATTCATATCCCATTTACGAGGGTTGCCTTTGTCGCACGAAAACGCCCCGCCCGACGCCTGTCATTTCGAGAAACTCAACGAAATACGCTCAAGGAATTTTAAAACCTCGACGTGGTACATTATTCTTGATTCAACAATCTAATTTTAATACAATATTCAGTGGCACTGGGAATTGACTTCTGAAACACCCTGTGTATATATATATTGTCCATTTTCCTCTGAATCACAAAGGGTTAAATAAATATTCCCCCAGTAGTACCTATTCGGGCAATCGACAATAATTTCTATTCACAAAAAAGTAACTAGATAGAGCATTCAGTAGAATCACTATTAAGGCGTGTTTTCATTAGAATCTTTCAACCGGACTGAAATGTTTAAAAATGCGTCACCATTGGCGCTGGAAAGTCGTAACGACTTAATACGCCGATATCCAGCGCGAGTGTCCCTTGTGCACCTGCTTTCCCTTCCACACTACATGTCTACTTTGGGAAACTGCGACGCTAAAAAGACAGGTGTAACAAATATAATATAAAACACAATTGTGTCGTTTTCATGGAAACTGTCCATATTGGATCCTACATTCAGGTGGAATTTGTGTGCACACATTAAGGTCACTTGATTCGTTCCGTACGAACTTCAAGGAATGATGGAGAAGCTTCCCTTTCCTAGGGACTAATTCATCTGGGTAATTATAATCGGTGATAGTAACTGACGTACCGACAATACCTCTCACAAAAAATGCTCCTTTCACTATATATTTACGTGTACCAAACAATGTCAAGTATTGTTCGTAGAAATTACATAACATGCAATTTAATAACAAAAATAAACGTAAATAAACATTAACATCCTCTTGAAGTGTATTCTAATTGAACCATTCACAGGTCAAAGTAGACTAACTCCACTGAAAACATTTTTCCACATTTCAACACCAAAGAATTGTTGCTAAACTTTTTATGTATAAAATAAATTTCCTTGATGATTGTGTAGTGGACTTAATCACATCGACGAATAAGCGCCTCAAAATAAAAAAAATAAAAATAAACACCAGAATCAGTCGGTACGTCAGTTACCAATTACCGATTACAGATATCGATTCGCGTCCCTGGGCAGGAGAACCTTCTCCATGCTCTGAAGCTCGTGGCGGAACGAATCAAATCACAAGGACAGTAACAACGTTGGAAGAAGGTGGAAAAGAAGGTGTGTGTGTGTGTACCTTCCCAGGATGCATTTCTGGACAGTTCTGTCGCAACAGATCCACGTAATGCCTTTGAAATAATTTTTTAATCGTGTAAGACACTCGATAAAATTGAATTGGACACTCGACGCAGACTTCACACACACACACACGAATTCGGCTCGCTGCGATTCTATACTCGACCCGTGTCGTCGACAATGGTATTTCGGTAGCCTTTCCGGAATACTCGAAAAAACCAGGAGGACGCTCGAACGCGTTGTGGACAAAAGACGGGTCCTCTCCTCGCTTTTGTGCTGCCCCTTTGTCTCTCTGTTTCCCCCCTCTCTCTCCTTTTGTACTTGGATTTCGAGTCATGGGCTGCTGAGTGGGGGACATCAGGAATATTAAAGAAAAGGACCGAATCCCCCAGAGCGTTTAGAAGAGAGAAAGGAACGCTGTTGAGAAAAGGACGGCGAAACGACGGAATCGCGTGTTGTGGCGCGAAGGCGAAAGAAACGGTTCCCTCGAAACAATACATAACCTCTTCCGTGAGAACGTTTTACTCGCGAAAACCACAAGCTATAGATAGTATACTTGGTCGTTGAAGTAGCATTTTGCGATTGATAACCAGTTTCCGTGACTGTGAACAAAAAATTCACGAAATTTGTGGTGTTGGTATTTAATAAGAATAGAGGACCTGTATTTTAAAATGTCCCCCTTGGTGCAATGTGAGGCCGATTAGTATCGATATTGGGGATCGATAATGAAGTGGTATTTATTGGTTAATTTACGAAAGCTGGAATGACACAAATTTATTTAATTAAATTTTCTACTATTTTAAGTTTCGTCAATATTTCTTCTCTTAAAGGATTCTAAATCGTATCCACTGCTCCCTATAATTTCCTAAGCGAGGTATTATAGGGAGGTAATGCTCGATTTTTTATCAGCACTATAATTCCTCAAATTTCAAGCTAAAAATTGTCTTTTTTCACGACACCATTCTGAGTATTCCAAATTTCACGCCAGAATAGGTTCAAAAATCGAGTAATTGAATTGAGGTTATGTTCGTTAAAATTTCAGCTTTTAGGATAACAAAAGGTAGTGTCTAGAAAATGTACCGAATAAAGTGCTGTATTTTAGTTTCTATACGTTTTTAATAAAGGAAAATTATTTTTAGTGATTCAGCGAATAACCATGGAATATTGCATTTGAATCAGCGAATTTCAGCGCGAGGGAGGTTTGCGCGTGACGTCGATACTGTGTCATTCGCAAAGGAAGCTTATACAATCGAGCTGGAGATATATACACGTTGCCGTTTATTTTCGCAAGTTTCACACCGCCAGGAAGGTGGAACCGGGCGCATATCGAGCTTTCACCGATTCGTATTTTATTCATAACAATCGAATTAACGCTTGTGGTTTCCCCCACCCCTTTTGAAATCCTTCTCTATTTAAAATTTACTCTAATTTTAACATCACGCCATAATATCACAGACGTCGTTTAAAAAAATTAAACACTACGAACAATTATCGATAAATTCACAATTTTAATATTTTTTTTCTTACCACCCGGTATATTATTCCAGTGAAAAAAATGAATTTGATACGAATCCATGGTCTTCTTATACCGTCCTTCATTATTTTTTTTAAAAACCAAACCAATAATTTTTATTCTCTTTTTTTCTCACCACCCGGTACATGATTCCAAATCCCTCACGGATTCTCGACCAATCACATTTGAAATTTCCCTTCAGGTTTCGCCCGAAATATGAAAAGTTGGAAAGAATTGTGGCCAGGCAAACCGAGCGAACGTTTCCGATGAAAATGGAACAAAGAAAGTGGATACGATTTTCCAATTTTATTTTTTCCCCCCAGTTTCCCTCGATTCGTGGATGAAAATGGGTCAGGAATCGTTTTATAACCTCGAATGTGCTCGTTTTTCCTGCTATTTTTTTTTTTTTTAAACAGATGTCCATTGGCAGTTCTCTCTCGATTAACGTCAATTCGCACACAAATTTAAATACCGTTCGTCATTGATTATGAATGGCCCCCGGCGCTACTTCAACGCCGCCAATAACGATTCGTAATTATAAAGCCCCCGATAAGCGTCGATTAACGGCTATAGTTGTTAAATATCGCGTGACCAGGCGGTGAACAATCGCGTGTCGGCCGATTTAA